AAATAAACTCTTACTAATGTTTTCTGTATTACAGTGGTTCGATGATTAAGTCAACAGTTTAAAGGTTTGATGTTACTATATATGTCATCTTGATTTTGCTCAAACCGGTGGGTCTGTTAGACGGTTGAATGGGAAGTACTACATTTTACAAGGAAAAAAAAAAGGAATGTTTGTTTGTTATAAATTTTAATATAGAATTTTAAAACAAAAAATGAAAGCCTAACATTGAACTTTCTTGTACGTTATCAACTTCGACCATAAATGGGTCTGATTTCCTAATTTCTAATTGTGAAATTATTCACTATGTGATACGCGATCGTGAAGCTTTCTTGAAACCTCTTAACTAACAACCTTTTAAGGTCTAAATAAACTTAAAAATTTTCTTTACAGACTGTATATAGTTGGTATTTTGTATATAAACATCGTGAACTACACTCCAAAAACTGTAATTAAAAAAAAAGAAAACTACATTCCAAAGATAGCTTGTTCATTATGGTTATTGCAAAACTTGAATAAATTTATACTGGTATTTTATTATGGTTATGGCATAAATTTATGCAGTGCTAGAGGCAAAAGCCAATACGCGTGTGTGTATACACACAACCTATTAACAAAGATTTCCACGCGTCCAAAGATGTATACCAAACAATAAAAAACTATATCCGTCCGTGACTTTTATTGATCATGAATCATTTGATCTTTTTTATTCTCTCAAATCATATTCTCATCCTCGATTGATTCTTATGATCTTAACAATCTTTAACATAATGCATGTTAAACTACAAAGACTGTATATTTCCTTTTTTAAAAGGAAAAAAAAAAATTTTACATTAAGTTATCTGCTTCGAGGTTGGAACTAATCACAAATGCTCAAAGAAGGCCATAATGTAATAACATAAAACCTAATTAAGTTTTCAAATCTAATTAAGAGAGTTGTTTATCATCTAATAACGACCCTAATAGGTCTTGTCGCCATGTAAATGCTCTCAAGCGTTCTAAA